AGCGGCCGCGCCACCAACCACGACAGCTGCGACAGCTGCAAGGAGGGCGGCGACCTGCTGTGCTGCGACCACTGCCCTGCCGCCTTCCACCTGCAGTGCTGGTAAGGCCAGGCCCCCCCCGCCGCCCGCTCACCCCAACATGGCGTGTTTTCGTGCTCAGCGCCATTTTGGCTGCCCCAGGGCGGGGGGGCGCCCGCCCCCACCCGGCACAGACACGCTCCTCGAAGGGGTGGTATCGTGGCAGCGGCACCCGGCCTCTTTGTCCCCTCTGTGCGGGGTGTGGTGGGCTTCGGCGATGTGCGCAGTATAAGCAAAGAGATGTTTGGGGCGGGGGTGTCGTCTGGACTCCACGATCCCTTCCGGTTCCGCAATTTGTGGCTTTTAGGACGTCATACGTCGGACTGGGAAGCTTTTGTGCCGGCTTAGCCTCGCGTGTGCGTGTGCTGGGGGGAAAACCGCCATTGCCTTAGCAAGAGGGGTGGGGGGGAGCGTGCTTTTATGTTCAGCTTCCCAAAATAGCTTCACGCATACCTCTTTTCAGCGGTTGTTTGTGGGCTTTTGAAGTCCGGTTCTTCGAGGAGTTTGTTGGCGGGAGTGGGGGGAAATGTTGCAGCTCTGCTTCTCAACAAAAACCGAGCATGGATGAATCGACTGTGTCCTGCCTCGTCGTAACAGTCGACGTGTCTGTTTGAGTCGGGGAGAGATGTGCAAGCTGTGATTTTAATGTGGCGAAGGTTTCTTGGTTTTAATCGGCGAGTGGGAAACGATGCTTTCTTTATGTGCGTTGGAGGCATCTGGGGAGTAGATTTTTTTTGGTGGGGGGGGATTTCCTTCAACAACTGGCTGAATCAACTTGACTAGTCAGTTTGGTCGACATTTTCATGCCATGAAAATGGAGCTTGATCCTGTCAACTTCCACTTGCTAAAATAGAGGCGGCGGCTCTCATGTGCAAGCACTTGTAGGAGATTGCTGGGGTTGGGTGTATGGACAGATCGGCAGCAGTACAAATTGCAGTGTGAGAGAGAAGCATCCTGTCTTCTACAGCTACAACATTAACATCGTCTGAGGTGTCAGGTCAACTAAGCAGACCTTTTCCTTAGCAGAAGTAAAACATGGGCTGTGCTGTGCCCTGCCGTTGTTCCCAGACTTGTGTGCCCCACTCCCCAGATGTATTTGAATGAGATGAGTTGCTTGTAGGATGACAGTATTCTTTTCTTGGTCATCTTTGGTTTTTGTTTTCATCTCCTACATCTTGTTTAAAGTAAACTTCCTCTTTGGGTAGAAACTCCAGGCACAAATGCAGCACTTGCAGTTTCCCTGTTTGTTTTTTATTTATTACCTGCAACTAACAATGAAGGTAACCTTTAAACATACCACTACAATGGAGTGAGTCAATTCAGAATTGACTGACTAAGAACTCTAGATGTTAGCCTGGCATTATCAACCTGTTTTCTCATCCCTACAGAGGAGAAATTTAACACAAGATTGGAGCTCATGGCTACTGCGCAGAAGATGTCTGAAGCCATTAGCAGCTTTTGGTCTGTATAATTTGTGAGGTGGGGATAAGGAAAATGACTCAGAGGAAGGAAGTGACTTGCCCAAGGTCACTCAGGGACCTGGCAGCAGAGCTGGGAGACAAACCTGGCTTTTTCCTAGGCCCGTGCCGCCTCCAAGAATAAGTAAGCAGTGCTTGTGTAAGTCCTTAATGAGCTGAGTTCCTTGACTACATAAATACACGTGTGTGTTCAAATTCACGGTGGTCTTTTCCTTTTTGAAAAAGGGAAACAAATGAACAATAATCCCCCCACCCTTTATTTCCATACCCTGTTTCAGTCTGGTGAGGGAGGCCTTACCCTCCTTTGTTCTTCCTTGCCCAATAATGTGTTAGCCTCACGTACCTCAGTAAGCAAACCTTCAGGCAGATATTGTGGTTCTAGTTAGGATTGTTGGATGTTGACAGGGTCACTCCAGGGAAGGAGGCTGCTTCTGAAAACCCTTTTACCTTGTTCTGAAACCTGTGGACTGTCACATTGTAGTTGTATTTAAAAAAAAAAAAAAAGTATTGAATTGTTCTGGGCCTAGCTAGTTTATTTTCTTCCCAGAAAAATGGAGTCGTGATAGGATTGTCACTCACACAGTGGCTCTGCATGGCTGGAACAGAACTTGATTAATTTATTATAAATTTGGCCAATCTTAAAATGCTATTCCAGAAAGATTAGCCTGTGACAAACAAACAAAACGTGTATTCTTCTTTTTAAGCACACCCTTAGAATTGGTTGGCACGTATTGATTCTGTGATGAACTGGGATATGGTGTAATGGTTTTTAGAGAAGTCATGTTGCGTTTTCCGTAGGCTAGCTATGATATCACTTCTGATATCTATGTCCATTGTTCCTCAAGTTGAAATTTCCTGTTGGAAACTCTTTCTGACTTCTGCTGGCTTCTTTATTTTTATTCAAAGAGACTGTATTGCTTCAGCATTTAAAAGTCTAGTTCTGGTTACAAAGTTTGCATATTGATAGGGTTTTGCTTGCTACTGGGGTCATTTGAGTACAAGTTATTGAGCAGTTCTAGAAACAATGTGGTCAGTCTCCCCTCGGTTCCGTTACAAGAAGGCGTTGAGCTAGATGAATTTCTTGTTACGTAGAAGCAGTGTATTTGCTTATAGCGTTTCGTACTCGTCTCTAACCCCCTTGTTCTCGAGGTTTCTGATGATAATAGTCCGTTCCCCTCTTCTCCCTCCCCTACTATTCCTTCCTTGATCCTATAGTAGACTCATAATCCTGTGTTTGAGATCGGTCATGGAAGCTAGGGCGACGTCACAAATTGAGCAAGATTTCCCTGACAGATTAAGCAGAAGGTGATTGTTAGAGAAAGACCTCTGGCTTGAAATTAATGGACACGTAGTAAGAGTGGATAGGTGTTGCAAAATGGAGAGAGTGAGCAGCAGAATCTCTTTCCACGCGAGAGGCTCTTGTGCGTCACTGAATCGGGGCATTCAGAATGGCTAAGTCGTATTTAAAATTGGCACCCAAGTACTCTGGTGTTAGTATCCTGAAGCAACCCGAGTTGTTAGAAACTAGCCAGCTGCCTGTTGTAGGAAATTAGGCATTTTTACATGAAAGAAAAAAACAAAACAAAACAAAACAAAAACCACCACCAACAAAAAAAGTCGTCTTTTCACGTTTGGTTTATCCTGTTGGTCTGATCCAGGTTAAATTCTCTGGCTGTCCCAGGGCAAATACACTGCATCCTTGCTGAGGGCTGCTAGTTCCATCAACTTTTTTTTTTCTTTTTGAAGCACTTGCCTCACCATGTTTATATTTGGCTCTGCTTCCTCTTTCTGATTTGGCAGTCTTCTCTGAAGTGCTGTTGTCGAAGAATCGGAGCAGCAGAGCTTGCAGAAAGGCAGGCAGAGCTAACTAGTCAGTTTTTTGCATACTTTATTGTCTAAGTCACAGTGGTAAAAAGCTTTACACATATAATGGGAAAATAAGTCTCCTTTAACTTGTAAGAAAATAGTCCTGTTTGAACTCTGCTGTAATTGCACCTAAAATTCACTTGGCCTGTCCTAATTTAGCACTCAATTTAGTTTTCCATTTAGTAGTTCTGGGATTTTATTTATTTATTTATTTAGGCTTTGTGTCAACTCCCTGCAGGGGGGTTGCAAAGAGGATGGAGCTGGACTGTTCTCAGTGGGGGCAGATGACAAAACAAGGAGCAATGGGCTCAAGTTGCAGCAAGGGAGGTTTAGGTTGGATATGAGGAAAAACTCTCTCACTAGGAGGGTGATGAAGCACTAGAACAAGGTAGTGGAGTCTCCATCCTTGGAGGTTTTCAAGGCCCAGCTAGACAAAGCCTTGGCTGGAGTGATCTAGCTGGGGCTGGTCTTGTTTGGAGCAGGGGGTTGGTCTAGATGTGACCTCCTGAGGTTCCTTCCAATCCTCATTGTCTATGATTACATCCTGCCCCTTTTGTGTTTTTTGGTTATGAACAAGGCATCCAGTTTCTGGCTTTCCTTGTGAATTTCACTGACTTTTATACTGGGTTAGGTTGTCTGTACATCCTGCTCATAAGAGGCTGACTCTGCTCTGTATTAGCAAACTGGGTGGAGATTAAATGCATTATTGATGTGGGTCTTAGTTTTGTGAAAAACTTCTGATGTTTTAAAAAGGTTTGCACCCAGGCCTTATGAAGGCTTAAGTAAAGTTGAATTTATAAATTTTGAATGTTTACTGTTGTAGAAAGCTAATCTTGATTAGCTTGTATGTAAAGTCTTTTGACAAAATCCATCCTTTAGAAGGCATTTGAAATAAGCCTGATATTGAACCTGGATTTAATTTGAGCTCATAATCCTAAAATATTACCCTCTATTCGTTTTGAAAAAAAATAATTAATTTGCATCATTAACATGTTTGTATTTTGGTTGGTTAACTTCAGACTTTTTTTCTCCTTTCAAAGTGGCCACTCGCCAGTTTTTTATGGTTTAATTGATTTTGCTGTTTAGGTGGTGTCAGGGCAGTGCTGAGTTTGAGATACTCAGCTGCTTTATAAAGAAGTGATTCACTGGTCTAGTTATGTAGAAGGATGCTTGGCTTGCATCTGGTGATGATAATCTGACTGACGTTAGCAGCTCAGCTAACATGCCTCCTGTATAACTTTTGGTCTGTTTTACACACGTGCTCTGAAGTGCAGAGCTAGATAGGTTCAGCATAGAAATAAAGCTTGCCCTAACGTAGAACTTTCTGGGGCATAAATGTATTGCAACTTGAAGATGGACTGTTTGTTTTGTTTTTTTATTGTATTTTTCAGGAGGCTGAAAAAATGTGCGCCCTGCAGTATGTGGGTGCACAGTCTCAGTAGATGAGGCCTGTACAGGTTTCAGAATGAATTCTTACACTCTGCTGCATATTAGACTTTCAAACCAAGCTGTGGGTAGCTGCTGCCTTAAAACCACATCATGACAATCAGGTTTGCAGGTTACTGGTGACATGGGGGAGGGGAGGGAGGAGGCTCTTGCTTAAGATAAAAAAGACTCAACCTACCTCTCCCCTGAAAAGATTAAATTTATAGTAAAGGGGATGAATGTAGTAGAATGAG